GCACATCCGTGCCAGCACAGTTCAGATGCACTGGCTTTGGGATGATTCACTCTGTGGTTGTGTTTTACATAATACACACGCCTCCTTTTACATGAGTAATAATGTCACCTTTGTTTTGTTTCATATATGGGTTAATTTATGCTCGGGCACATCTCATTTCCAGCATTACAGATGGTGCTTTATCCCTGACATTTTCCATCCCTTTGAAGGGCAGAGATCCCTCATTACTTTAAAGGCTCCAAAAAAAAAACTAAAAAAGCACTAGCTCAGTTTAATCCCACTGCAGCACTGCTCTGCTGCCCACAGAGTAATGGGCAACATCAAAATACAGACTTCTGTGAAGTCCTGCTAGGTAGTTATGTAACTAACTGCATTTCAACCTCATTGGCTAGGACTCATGCTTTCGATGGTGCAGAGGAAAGCAACCCTTCAGCCTCACAAGTTGGTGAAAGTTTATGTTTTCGTGTTTACTTCTGAAAATAATAAAAAACAATCAACAACTTGGAATAATCAGATTACGGGTGTTGGTTTATGTAAGCAGTCTTTATGACCCGTGTTTCACATCTCTGTTTTCAACACGTTCTCCCTCCCAGCGCGTCAAAAACAAACGCTTGGTCAGCCATCCTCCACGTCAGACCCCTGACGCCAAAAGTGCCCTTTTTCGTTACTTATGTGCGAAAAGGGGTTTTTCCCTTATTTGACTGCAGATCCCAATGCAGCGTAAAACTGAAGCGATGGGATGTCCGCTACCGTTGCATCCCAATGCAGCGTTACACTGGCACCAAACAAGCTCATTGTACCTCACCTTAACCTTATCCTCTTATTTAACCTTGTCTTCTTATTTAACCTTCCCCTCACCCCTATCCTAACCTTAACCATCTTGCCAGCGAACACGTTAGTGATGTGTCGATCGCTCTAAAAGCCGGCTCTATGAAGTGAACGGCGGGAGCCGCCTCGTGATTGGTCGAGTTTGGACCGAGCCAACGCGAGGGGGAGGTTTCAACTACCAAGGTGGAGGTTAAAAGTAGAGGGTATGTGTAACCTCCCCCTCACCAGATGGTATGTTCTAACGTTCCCCTTGGGCGGCAAATACGAAAATTGACAGACTCTGACTGTCAGAGTCAGAATGCGTGGGAAACAAATGCTTGATCGCAGTGAGAGTAACGTTTTAGGTAGCAACAGGGTTAAGGTTAGGATGAGGGAGAGGGGAAGGTTATAATTAGCGAAACGTTAAGGTTTAGGTGCGGTTAAATGAGGTGGTTCGGTGCCGCATCGTTAAATGAGCTGGTTCGGTGCCGCACTTAAGGTTTAGGTGCGGTTAAATGAGCTGGTTCGGTCAGTTTTACGCTGCATTGGGATCTGCAGTTACAAAAGGGGAAAACCCCTTTTCGCACATAAGTAACGAAAATGGGCACTTTTGGCGTCTGGGGTCTGACGTGGAGGGTGGCTGACCAAGCGTTTGTTTCCGACGCTTAGGGTGTGAGAATGTGTTGCTGTTTTACACTATCCATAGAGTAAGCAAATGTGTCATATAAAGGCTGGCTGAGTTCTTCAAAGCACAACTCACTTCATTTTAGATGAGAATGAAAAAATAGTACACCTGAGAGAATGTTATTTGCCCAACGTAGCATCTATAATTTAGATATTTCAAACACCATTCTTCTTTAAAAATGTCTCAGTGGAAATTTGGGTGCACCAATTTAATCTGTAAGTTAGAGTGAGCTAAAAATGTGTCATGTCAAAACAGAAATGACAGGCTCCTGGACTGCACAGTAATTTATTAGATGACTTATTATCGTGTTTCCTTCTTTTTAACTCAAATTTATAATCATCTTTCATTTGTTTTGTTGCTATTTATGGCTTTGTTTTTCTGATTTTAATTGATTTCATGATATTTTCTGTAGCTTTTTAAAAACATTTAGATTTAATGACTTTATGATTTGTTTCATTTTGTTGATTTCTATGAAACACTTTGTGATTCTCTTTCTGTAATGAGTACTATATAAACACAGTTTTTAGAATAGTATAGCGCCTTCTTAGCGTTCTAAAACCTGCTAAGGCGCTTCACAATGCAATCACTCATCCATTCATTGACACACCCATTCACATGCTGGTGGTGATGAGCTACGATGTAGCCACAGCTGCCCTGGGGTACACTGGCAAAGTGCTGCCGAGCACTGGCGCCAGCGGTCCCTCCGACCACCACCAGCTGGCAAGGCAGGTTAAGTGTCTTGCCTAAGGACACAACAGCAGCATTCTTTGGCGAGAACCGGGACTGAACCTACAACCTTCCGATTACAGGACAACCCACTCTACTTCCTGAGCTACTGATGTCCAAGATGACAGAAAGTGTATTGTGCAGAGGGTTGTAGGGATACATGCACACAGAACGCCCAGTTATACTCATGCACGCTCTGTTTCCAAGTAGCTGCTCACCTTGCAGCTAACTTCTTCTAGCAGTAATCTGAAATGAATTTCTCCAAACAGCATGCCGAACTTTAGCTTACATGTCGAGCTGAAAACCGGCGTCAGATTCATCTGTAGGAAGCCCGATCTTCAGAAGAAAAAGCTCCTCTGCTGTACCTATAATGATAATAATTCTAGATTTTTTTGTTATTCATGCACATAACTTCAATCAGGAAAATATAATCAATATAATTAGGTAAACCAGTTATGGAAGTAGATGCCACCCACATCAAATAAGATTAGAGCGATATCACATCATATCATAACTTTATTGTTCCATCAATATAACTTTGCTTTTGTACAAAATACATATTTATCACATTTGTTTAATATAATATCACATTCTTACAATCTAAATAGTATTATATGGTACAAACGTGGAAATTATATTGTAAGAACATGATAATATATTGTAAAAGTGTGACAACTATGAATGGAAATTGAAAAGTTTTCCATCCATTTATCCATTTTCGGCTACTTATCCGGGGTCGGGTCGCGGGGGCAGTAGCCTAAGCAGGGAGGCCCAGACTTCCCTCTCCCCAACCACTTAGGCCAGCTCCTCCGGGAGAATCCCAGGCGTTCCCTGGCCAGGAGAGAAACATAGTCCCTCCAGCTTGTCCTAGATCTTCCTTTAGGTCTTCTCCCGGTTGGACGTGCCCGGAAAACCTCACCAGGGAGGAATCCAGGAGGCATCCTAACTAGATGCTCAAGCCACATCAACTGGTTTCTCCTGATGTGGAGGAGCAGTGGGTCCCTCCAGGATGACCAAGCTTCTCACCCTATCTCTAAGGGAGAGCCCAGCCACCCCTGCGGAAAAGTCTCATTTCAGACTAGAATCTCCTCGAAGTCCTACGAAAGCCTTCCACTTGGTCTGGCGATACCCATAAGCTGCCTCTGGAGTCCCACAGGCCAAAAATAAGTCAATAGCAGTGGCGGCTGGGGAATTATTTCTTGGTGGGGCACAAATTAACTGGTGTTGTGCCAAAAAGTGCATGCCGGCCAAGATTTACCTGACCTGCTAGTAGCAAACCAACAATGAGAACACCAACTTAGCTCCTAGGATCATTGGGACACTCAAACCCCTCCACCACGGTAAGGTGGCAGCCCAGGGAGGGATACGTTTGTATTAGTATCAATCCCATTGTCGATTCTGTCAGTCAGTCCAGTTCCTTATCAATTCCTTACCAGGTAATTCAAGAGCTGGCAAAAATCAATTTGTACCTGGTATTGGTTGGAAAGATCTTACCAAAAATTCTCCTTCATCGTCCTTGTGAGGGCAGAGTCATCTTCTTGTATGGTGCTGTAGCTTTTGCAAAATTGGAAAACATCTCACCACAGGTCAGACTTTAGTTGCCACAATCTGCAAGCATGGAGGTGTGTCTATAAGGCAAATGACGCTAACATGATGGGTAGTGTTAATTGATTAGTTACCTGCAGTGTTAACAGGAGAGGACATGCAAATGTCACAGCTGCTGCTGCTGCTGAAATTCACTAGTCCGGAGTGGGTCAAAAACACGACATTCACTTTTAATTATCGCGTAATTTGTGCACAAATGCTGTTGCATATTCATAGTGTTTCCTCTCTTTAATGAAATTTCAACTTTGCAAGTATTGCAAGTTGCCCTGTTGTCATCCTTTCTTGTAAAATATAACCAAACTTTCGAGCATTTGTGCTGCTTAGGTGCCATGTGTCCTGCTGAGAAAATGCGTAAGCTATGCAATGCATGTGGTGATAAGGGAATTGCTTGCAAAAAGGGCAAATGATTAGGAATTGAACAGAGGGAACCAGTTGTCAACAAGAACCGGTTTTTGATACCCAACAATATAACATTTTGTAAGAATGTGAAATTATAATGTTATAACAATGAGGTCAATATGTTGTAACGTGATATCGCTCAAATTTTATTTTACGTGGGTGGCAACTCTACACTTCAGTATGCAGGAGGCTAGCTTTAGTAATTTAGGAACAATAGTGCCTAGCAGCAAGTAAATTACAAATATCTACAGATTTATATATTTTAGATTTTTACAAAGAATTTAATTGGATATTCCAAAAAATAAATAAAAGAAGAGTTAAAAAATACTGTTACAACAATGACTTTGAAGAAATCTAAAATGTGAGCTTATTTTTCAATAAAATGCCATTCTTCACACAATGTCCATAAAAGAATATGTTTGTGAATGTCCAAGCTGAAAATATGTCTTTATTTCATTTTAAAGAAGGTTTGAGGTATCTTAAATTGGATATAGAAGGAATGGGACATTAGTATCTGCTGTAAATGTTTATCTTCTAACGTTTTAAACACAATTTAACAAACAGAAATGTTATTTATTATTATTATTATTATTATTATTATTATTATTATTTGAACAAAACTGGAGGGGGAGAGTCACTCTCTACGTTCAAATCTAGCTAATTATAATACCATTTTTGCTGAAGAAATAAATGGTTAAAAAAAGAAGAGACGCGGTTAGATGTAGAAATGATGTGTGATTATATGATACAACTGCCTTCCACATTCTGAGGCGCTCACCATCTCCACCTGTCGCGGATCCAGCTGCAGAGGCACCGCGGATGGGACGGAGAACTGGATCTTCCTCCGCGCATCCTCCTTGTCCTCCTCTCGCTCCACCACCTCCGGGTCTGTGGGCAGCAGCGGGTCCATGGTGACATCCAGCCCAGACTTCAAATCCAGACGCAACTCCGTCGAACTTCCTCTTTGTCAGAACTAATAACCGTCGGTGTGTTTAAAACGAACCCTCAAGCGTCGGTCAGTTAACGGAACATCGCTCTCTCCATTGTTTATAAAGTTGTTTTTCCCTCCCTCCTCCACCGACCACTGTCCGCATGTCTCCCTGCTCCGGTCCAGATTACTGACCGTAAATGAGGAGAGGAGTGGAATTGTGTGATGCTTTCACGTGCCGTCGGAAACCACAGCTTTTATGTGGTGCTTTCTTTTACATCTATTTTAGGTGATATGTAAAAATGATTCTGAAACAGCAAAGTTTTGTTTAGCAAAAGTTGTGATGTAATTAGGAAACATTTTTAAAGAAAGCTGTTGAGCTTATCACAACTTTTTTTGTAAAATAATTGAATTTACAAAGACTAAACAATACTCAACGAGAGGGAAAGCCCTGTTTATTTATTTATTCCTCTTCAGTTAAACACACCTGGGATCATCGTGATGGGGTTTGTCACAAAAAGAACCTGGAGTTTAAGACGCAGATATCACGGCTCAGTAGGGCCCCCCCCCCCCCCCCCCGGCCCACCAATACACACAACCCTGCTACAGACAGACTTATACCAGCAGGTGGCAGAGTTGTGCTGTTTAGTGTTGATTAAAACTAACAAGAGGGGGGATTATTACAGCAACATATAAGTTATCACATTAGACTATCATAAAATGCCAGGCCTATTCAAAAGGAAATATTGTATTCAGACATATTTAAAAACTTGCTGACACTGACTTAGGGAGCCTATGTCTCTTCCCATTCTGGTCATCCCATGCATCCCCTGACGGAGAGAAAACACAGTGTAAGTAATCGGGGCTACAAGAGCTATTTTCTAATCCGCTTTGCCTTACGCCCTAAATCACACGTGTTGTACTTCAAATTAAAGGGACGTATTTTTTGTCAGACAAGAAGTTGCAGTCCGCTACGCTTTTTCATGTAAAACCTAGAAATAACTTTTACTGCCTGTCGAAAATAAGAGCTTTCTTGGCATCAAAATGTTTCTTCAAAATTCAAAAACATCTTATGTGAAATCCATGGCACATATCAAACGGGATCAAAAAACTACATTTATCGCTCCATAGACTAATTTTATCAGGCAGTAGGGGACCCATGGTCCAGCAGTGCCGTGACTTTGGCTTCACATAACTGATTTGATCATTCACATGAAGAACATACAAACGTGGTTGCTATAAAAGCAGGGAAGAGTTGCTACAAAAGCCCAGGGGCCTCATTTATCAAGCTTGCTTATGCACAAAACGGTCAGAAAACTGCCTAAGCAACTTTCCAAGCAAACTTTGGGATTAATGAAAGAAAACTTAGCGGAAAAATGTGCGCAAGTTTAAGTTGACTAAGGACCTTGCTTACGCACATTTTGGACATGGAGAGCATCTGCAGTGCTGCTGCTGAGAAGGATAAAATTATGAAATCCTGCAGCATTATCACTTGTACTGCTTCGTTTTCACACAGAACAAGACCCCCCCCACACGCACGCACGCACACACGCGCGTGCGTACACACGCATGCGTGCACACTCACACACACACACACACACACGCACGCGCACACACAGCCTGAAGCGCAGAATACGGAATGCAGATTATCAGCAGGGGCACAGATTGAGACAGAATGTCATGCGTCTGTGACAGTGTGTGTCCTGTCACTGTGACCCGATTGATCATGTGCCCTGGATACTTGGACAGGGGAGATCTCGGTTTGAGTGACTGGTTAGTGCATGTTGCTTTCACCTGGGAGTCTGGGGATTGAATCCTGATTGGACCATTTTTTTATTTCCGCCACAGATCTCTCTGAAGAACTCAGCATTGACGGCTTCAGCAACGCTGTACCACTCCGTGGATTTTCTCTTATTTGTTTTGCAAAAGCACTTCCTTTCATTTCTCCACCTCACCCACAAGTACCTCAATTTCTGCTTCTGTGAAATTGCGCTTCCTTGATCTGCCTTGATCTACGGTCGCCATCGTCATTGGCGGAGCGCTGCAACAGCCGGCTTATGTATATGCATGAGATCCACAAGGCACTTTGCATTGACTATTTATGGCAGTATGTAGGCGTGGTGAGGGCGGGATGTGACTAAAAAGCAGCTGTGAACCATTCTAGATAGTTTCTGATTTATGAAGCGGAGATTGCGTGCAGCTGTGCGTACTCCATGTTTGAGAGATCACAAACCTACTTGGCGTAAGTACATTTTTTTTGCTGAGCTGAAGTACGGTTTTAGTAGGGATTCTACACAATGTTTGATAAATGACACCCCAGACATTTAAGGAGCCTGCACTTAAAAGTATTTTTTTTTTCTGGAGTACTTCCTGGTTAAGTGTCTTTTTTTTTTTGGGCAGTAGAAGCAGACATTTGATCCAGGTGCCATAATATACCAGAGCAGTACAGAAAGAAGAATGTAGGATATTCCTCGTGTTGCTCAGTAGCCTTTTTATGTTGGTGGCATGTTAGACCACATTCGCTTACGCACCGGAGTGGACAGGCAGGGAGAAAAGAGACATACAATACAAATAGGGAAAGAGAGGGAGGGGGGATGGAGGGACAACAGTACACAACAAATAAACAATGGACAACAAATACACAAGCAGGACAAAACAGTTGGGTCATCATAAAAAGAAAGAAAGACAATGTGTGGGCCTGCATGTGTGTGTCTATATCTATTAGCAGTGGCTCCCAATCTGAGGTCCTAGACCCCCTCTCCACAATTTTGTCTGTGCTCGGACTGTGAAGTTATCAGGTCTATATTTGTAAAATGAGCATTTTTGAACGTCCTAATAACACACCTAGTATAATTCAAGTTTGTAATTAATCACTTTTTACGCATGTAACTCGGGCAGGAGTTGATGTTGCGCCTTGGCTTGTCTTGTGCACAGGCAAGGGGGTCCTTAAGGCAAAAAGGTTGGGAACCACTGCTTATAGAATTTGTCCGTGTGAATGTTTGTGTGGTTACATATGTGTGCAGTCTGGGCTGTGTGCGGTCAAGGGGCAGCCAAGTATGGGGCAGCCAAGCCAAGCCAACTTAGCCCTGCACCCCAGCAGAGTGAGCGCCAGCCCCCCAACTATGCCCTCAACCTATACGAATGGTGAGGGGGTTGGTTGAAGAAGACACGTTTGGCCAGGCCAGGGCCTCCAGACCATACCCCAACACTGTGAGCACCCATCGCCACCCATCAATACCCACAATGGACCCAAAGCCCTGCAGGTAGCTCCAGATCCTCAGCCCCACCAAATCGACAGAGGGTAACAGGCAGAAGCAGTGGTACATACCAAACGTGATTAGAAAAATAACTTTTATCACTCCATAGACTAATTTTTTTAGGCAGTAGGGACCCATGGACCAGCAGTACATGGCCATGACTTAGGCTCGCCATGACTGATGAGATCATTCACATGACGAAAACACATGGCTAAACAGACATGGCTGCTATATAAGCAGCGAAGAGCTGCTAAGCCCAGACATCCAAGCAAACTGCATATATGCTTTTTTTCTTGTGATGTGTTGATGTCCCACAATGCCTGGTGCCTTCTGTTAAGGAGAGGAGGAGATGTGTATGAACTGGAAGACACAACAAAAGAAGAGCATGCATGCAGAACATGACCGTTAAATGTTTTTGTGACGAAAAAATAATAAGATAAAAGTGTAAAAGCTAAACAATTTATCATTCAGAGGTACTGATCCAGTGTTTCATTGACCATATTTACCTTATACTACGTACTTGCAAGCAGGGTCCGAAATAAAAAATTTTTACTCACCGGCCAAGTTGGCTGGTAGATGATGAAAATCTACCGGCCAAGCATATTTTTTACCGGCCAAAATTCTAAATGATTTAGATCTACCTAAAGCATGTTATTCTATGTTATATTGATTCCAAACAGTGACAAAATAATTAAAACATCAATTAAGAAAAACAACTCTTTTGTCATTTTTATTTATTTATTTATTTTTAGAGATGTTTTTATGAACTCTTTCATTGAAATCTAGTCAGACTCCTTGTTTTCTCTGTCCATGAAGTATGGCCTCCTGCTTCTGACACCGTCTTTGTGCCAAAGCATTACAGCCTTAGCCTAGTGAGCTAGACCAAATTCTTGCTTTGCAAAGAATGGTCTAGGCATGCTCCATTGGAACCTCAGCAGCTCCTACCAGGACTCTGGCTAGCCAATCACGGCTCTCTAGAGGGGTTTCAAACACATAAAGAGCTGTGATTGGTCCATAATGGTGGGCCAATCATAGTGCTCTATCTGCTTAGTGAACAAATCACAGAGCTTTATCCGCTTTGTGGGCCAATCAGGGCACTCTATATGCCGATGGGTGGGATGATACAACAGAGTGAAACAAGAGTATGTCACATTCATCGTCCAGTGGAATGCGGAGATCATTTGAAAGACAACGGTAGAACCCGCCCCACAACCGAGAGCCGTCAATGGAGCATGACCATGCATTTATTTATTTAATGTATTTATGAATAATACATTTATTTAGTCTGGCTTGCCAGGCTATTACAGCCTCATTTGGGTCATAGTCCTTGATCTCTGGAGAACACAGCTGCACCATGAGAATATCTGAAAGTGTGTCAGGGCTATGGTTGTCACGGTAACCGGTGTAGCGGTAAACTGCGGTATAAAAGTTGACAACCGTCTTGTTTTTTTTTTTTTAATTATCTCGGTGGATTACTGTGGCTGCGGTGTAGGCGCGGTGACCCTTACCAGCCACCGTATCATCTGCTGAAGTTGCCGGCAGCACATGCGCACTTTGTTGTTTACGACCAAAACTTTCTTGAAGCTAAAGCTGAAATAATGGCCAGAGGAGACGGCAGCACTCAGGACATTTATTATCCTTCAAAGATGACAAAGTGGGAAGTACGGACATTTTTTGGATATCTGAAGAATGCCGAGGGACAGTTGATAGAAGACGGCTACCCTGTTTGCAGCATGTGCAGAAAAAGTGTCTGTGAAAGGCAGCAACGCTCCAAATCTCATGACACATCTACGTGGCCATCATAATGTGGCCATTGTCTTACGACTCTGCCATCTCCAGTTCGCCACTTTTCACAAAATCTTCTGGTTGCCACTGGTCCTGGTGGTTTTTCTTCCAGTTTGACAAGTTTTCTTTTGGAAGGCTGGCTGACTCCAGTTAAAAACCGCCA